GGGGAAGCTGGTGCGAGAAGGAGTGAGGGAGAGAAGGGAGAAGCTGGTGGAGACGAAGGAGGGGGACAGATGAAGCTGGTCTGGAGAAGCGATAAAGAGGGGAGAAGGGGAGAAGCGTGGAGGAATGTGAGGTAGCGGAGAAGCTAACGTATTGGTGCGAGGGAGGTAGGGGAGGAGAAGGGAGGAAGCTGCTCGCAGAAGTAGGAGGGAGGAAGCTGGTGGTGAGGAGGCAGTCGTCAGGGGGAGAAAGGGCGAGAAGGGGTGGTGGAGAAGGAGGCAGGGCGGAGAAAGCTGGTGAGAGGAGGAGATCTCTCGAGGGGGAGAAGGGACGAAAGGTGGTGTGAAGAGGGAGGTATGTGAGAAGCTGTGGAGAGGGAGGAGGGGGAGACAGGGAGAAGAGTGGTGTTCGCCATGGGAAGAGTTGGAGAGGTGAGTAAGGCGAGAAGGTGGTGGAAGGAGGAGGGGGCGAGAAGCTGTTGGAGAAGGAGCGGTTGCGAACAAAGGTGAGTGAAGGTGGCTTTGCACTGGAGAGGGAGGTATGGAACTTGATGGGGGAGAAGCTGTGTGGAGAAGGAGGTGGGAAAGGGACGAAGGTGGTTGGAGAAGGAGGAGGAACCTCCGCCTCTGATCGTTAATCTCCCGGTGGACGGGGAGATACCCAGGTCGCCACTTCAGTCGGAAACACTTAAATTAGGTACACACCGCTGGTGGCTTCTCCCCTTACCCTTCCGCTTCACAGCTTTTCCCTCCTCCTCCGTTTCACCAGCTTCTCCCCCTCTTCCTTCACCAGCTTTCCTTCTCCCACACTCCCCTTCTCCACCACCTTCTCCCCCTCCTCCTTCCACCACCTTCTCCTCTCCTCCTTCCTCCACAGCTTCTCCCTCTCCTCCTCCTCCAAGTTCTCCCTTCTCCCCCTCTCTCCGTCCACAGTTCTCCCCCCTCCTCCTTCTCCTTCTCCCCCTCCTCCTTCACACTCTTCTCGCCTTCTCCCCTCCTTCCTTTCTGCAACCAGCTCTCCCTCTGCCGTTCTCCACACTTCTCCGCTTATCGCCCCCTCCTTCCTTCATCCACCAGCTTCTCCCCTCCTCTCTCCTCCACCAGCTTCTCCCTTCTCCCCCTCCTCCTTCTCCATCACCTTCTCCCCCTCCTCCTCCTCCACCAGCTTCTCCCTTCTCCGCCTCCTCCTTCTCCAGGCTGTGTGACTAACGTCAATACACAGGTATTCTAACCCTAGCAATACCGTTTCTTGGAGCTACATCTGACTATGTCAGATGAGCTATAAAAACAACAATTTAGATCTCACATGTATGCAGTTAATTAATATTAAATAATGTAAAAGCTAAACAGACTGTTCGGCAAGACTACTCAATAAGAAAGGGTTACATTTTTAGTACTAAGTAAAATGGAGCAATTAATTAATACTATCGAACAAAAGGTTAGTCAAGAGTGACACTGACAGATGGGAATCAAGAGCAATAAAATTATTTCCCTACCTATATATACCTACCCTATTTTATTCAAAGACGTATAACCCTAAACAAATTTTTGTAGGCCTTATTATCCTATTACAATATACGTTTCGTGCATGTCTTCGCAAAGCGATCCAATTGTATATTATAGTTTAATTTCTATGGATAAAAACAATTACAGCTGATTTCTGAGTAACTTGTATGGCTATTGGCAGCCCGAGGGACCCCCCCCACCCCCCCCCCGCCTGGTCCTAGCTTCATCAGCATGCATCCATATACTTTCAAATAGGGCACTTTTTCTGAGCACCAACTGCTCTATAACCACTAGCACTACCATATAAAGGAAATCTTTGATGCCTTGAATCTTTATGAATTCATGAAATCTTTATATAGCCTACAATCGTGCATTTTGAGACTCAACGACCGTTCGGCCCTTGGCTGCCGCCCAAATGTTTTTCTTTCAGTGCGCATGCGACGACGGCGGTCCTGTGCACGAAGACTATAATTTTCAGTGCGGCACGCGGATCGGGTAAACAAGACTTAATTCTTCAACTGCCGCGCACGACCTGTCGGGTAAACAGAGACATAATTTCTTGCACGTGCGCGCCCGGACAGTCGGCACGTGCGCAGCAGCCTCCTTCATCACATCGGGTACCCGACTGCGCTCGTTGCGGCAACGCATTTCATCCACTCAGGTTACCGACGTCCGTACGTGCGCAATGGCGATTTTCATCACTCGATACACGACGGTCGTGCAAGCAATTGCCATGGTTTCATCACTCGGTACACGACGGTCGGGTAAATAATTACCTTTCTTTATTAGAAACGTTGCAAGTGCCTTGTGGTTTCAACCATATAACGTAAGCAGTTGCCTTGGGCTCTAGGCAGCACAGGCCACTTTGGAAACGTCTCAATAATAAAAAATAATGGTGATTAACACGAAAACTGTACCAGTCTATAATGTTTCTCTACTCTATTTTATCGTAGATAATCACCTGTAATGCTTGGTCAAATGCTCATCTGCAACACAACAAGGTACAGCCGCACGCCTCCGCCTGTGTGCGTGCACAAACATACATGAATAGAGAGCAGGTAGGGAAAGCTGGATGTAAAATTCGCTCGACGCTCGCTTCATTTCACACCATTAAGCTCCAGCGTCGAATACACTCCTACTAGCTTCCATTTGGTATCTATGTGTACATAAATGTTCACTTGTTAATCTATAAACTCTGGCTCTTTATTCTTACTACTCGACGCCGAGAGATAAATCTCTGGTGAAATCCTGCAGGAAAATGTTCTCCCGTAGAAATGTAAAGAGGACGGATGTCTGTTTATACACGGATTATGGGCGATCTGACATTGCCAGGGCATGAGCTCTGCCGGCCTCCGAGCTCCATTTCGAGGCACCGCAAGCAATGCACAAGCGCCGGGGCATGGTCACGACACGCATGACTCAGCAATCGATTGAAAGTAGTGCCGTTTTACAGTGCTCGAAATTAAAAAAAGCGTTTGTCCGAGTTGTCCGGAGACAACCAGAATTTGCGGCCGAAACCATAACCAGTCTGAGAACATTGTCCGGGTGGACAACCAAGAAAAATGTGGTACGAAAAACGCAACTTTATTTATGTTTTTTTAGGGTTCTCAAGGCATTAATAGCCTTGGCGGCCCGCCATTACTCTATGGTGTGTGGAAGCAACGCATACCAGCTGCCTATGTTCCAACACTGGCTACGTATGTCAGAGTTTTCTGATTTATGAGAGGTGAATTCATACTCGATTTGGAACCAGCAAACAGCAAGTTCACCACTTACATATTTTGGTATGTTTTATATCCATTATTATTTGAATTTTACGATGTGCTTTGCCCATTGCAAACAGACAACGTGGGATTTCATGTTGATCGAAATGTTAAAAAAAAGAAAGGAAATTGTCAGTATCAGAATGAAGAGCTGTATATGTACTCAAGAAGATGCGCAAAATACATCTCATGCGATCTACATTTTCAAAATTTTTCTGGGGGAGGACCCCCATACCCCGCTTGGTTTTTAACCGCTCCTGGAATCCTAGATCGCGCCACTGAACTAAATTACATTATTTGGGAGCACAGAGAACAAATGAACAAAAATGTCGCCTTTTCGCATTGGCACAAAAACAAAGATTGCAGAGAAGGCTAGAGGAAGCCGTAGGATGTGGAGAGGGAGATGGAGGAGCATTAAAGTATTAAGTCATTCCACTATTTTGCGCAGTTTGCTGTTTCTTTTTGCCTCCCCCCCCCCCTTGTTACAAAATACTGGGACTACACCACTGTTTTTGGTGTGTTTTCTGACCATAGGCAAATGTTTGTTGAACAAGGTTTACGTTCCTTAAATCATATTGTTTTCTAAAGCAGTCTGTCTATAGCACCCTGAAGGCTGAATTAGTGAATGCTCGTGTGGGAGGCAAAAACACGGGGCAGCCCAGGGCTGGCACGCTTCTAATCATAATTGTTGCCTGCCAACCTGCAATGCACATGTGTCTGCAATGCATAGAGATTAGGTGGGTGCGAAAGTGTAGCTGATATATTTGTTCCAATTGGCTACGAAAGTCAAACAAGAATAAAGAAGACTTATGTATAATACGTCTTGCTATGCACAAATGAATTTATCAGCAGAACACCAGACACCAGATGAGCCCTGTTACACTGCGGCACTTGTTTCAAAGATTCTGTGACAAGTTATTGTTTTTTTGCTGATGGGGCAAATTGGTTGCTATTGGTCCCCCTTCCCTTACACTCTGGTGCCACACCTGCTAACAAGTAATTAATTGTTGCACATATTTAAATTTATACAGTATATTTTAAATGAGAGTAATGCCTAATCTATTAAAGGATGAGTGTTGGCGCTTGTAAGTTGACATGTTGCCCCACCTACTTGTTAGATGTATTTGTAGTCAATTTTCACAGAAAAAAAATCTAGGACCTGATCTGATAGTACTCCACATATATGTTACTACTCTCATTGCTTGCAGAGCATATATCCCTCCATTGGGATTAGTTAGCATTATATTTAATTTGGTCAAAGGTAACTTGACTAGACATGCATACACTATAATTGATAAGCTGCTGAAATGAGAACTTTAGAAGATTTAGGGTATCACAAAATGCATTTTCTTTCATGTAATTGCATAGATTGCATTTAATGTATTTTACCTTGTATTGCTCAAGGGCATACATACATATTAGTTATTTATATAGTAATCGATTCTTTGATGTTCATTTTTCCAGATTGCGATAGTGTTTTTTATATTTGCAAAACGGCAAATTACAAGATTTGCATTGAAGTCAAGAAAAGGTCCACATGTACCTATAGGCCACGATGCTCCAAAGGTAATCCATTATTATTAACTTGGTGGCATGTTCTCCTGAACCTGTCAGTACCATTCTGTAGAAATATACTCATCTACTATCATTTGATCATTAAGTCTGAGCCGAAAGTTATTTCATGTGGTCAGAAAAAAAATTTCAGTGGTTTTATATAGTCGTCTATAAATAACAGGAATACATTCTTACAGAGCCTCCAAGATGAAATACTGAGAAGGATAAATAGAATACAAGATATTAGATACGAGCCATCGAACATCCTAGCCAACATTATTGAACATGCAACAGATGGGGAAAACTTGGGTAAAACAACTAGTCATGCCTTATCACTGTTATCATCAATAATTATTTACTTTGGTGTATGTATTAAAAATTATAATAGGTGAATATTTAGGAGATTGTGGCAACATTATGTATATGGTTTTACAGGCATATGATGAATTCCATTTCATTTGGTAATAACTTCTTGCATTGGTTTTAGAAGAGTACCACTTCTACTACCGAATGAAGGCAGTTGACTCCATCATCTTGCTAGGTACGTGAAATATAGTGTTGTCAATCGGTTGTAATTTCCTAATCGATCATCGGATGGACCCAAGTAACCGATGATCGGTTACTCGTGGTGTTGAATGCCTGCGTGTGCGTAACGTCATGTGCATGTACGTGTGTGCATGTATGTGCTTGTTTAGCCCTGTTTACTCACTTCAGTTCAGGTTATCAAGGTCAGATGCTACGATCTGAGAAATGCATTGTACGCATTCCAAAGCTATGCATTTTCTGATTCCAAATACAAAAATTTTCTTAAATTTCAAATGTCATGGTTGCGGCGCCAAGCATTCACTAGACAATCATCCAGTCACACAGACCCCACTCGCTGGCCTGTCTCATCATATAGCTATAACATATGTGAATTTCTTTTATTAGCGTTAGATCTCACAATCGGATAGCTGTATGCGTGGGGCTCAACAGTTGGATACGCCAGGAATCTGCTAGCATATTTGCACCCAGCAGAATAACATCGAAAAACATTGTTTAATCAGAGGCTTCAACGAAAGTCAACTGCCATTCGTAGCATGCTATCATATAACAATACTTTTGTCCATTTACTCCATATTACTGCTGGAGGCTTGTCCCCCCCCGGGGTAACTGGGCCGGAACGTACGCCTGGGTACAGGTGGCGGTATACCGGAAGCGTAGCCCTGGTACTATCGTAATATGCCGGACCGTATACCTCCGCCTACTCCACTAACGATGTCTATAGGATCGCCTACGCCTATGCATAACCAGCCAACCCGAACCCATAAGCCCTAAATCCTAACACCCTAACTGCATATCAAATAGCCACCAGGGTAGTTAACGTTCCGGTATATCCTGGGGACATAAGATCCCTATGAGTCCATAATTACTATAAATTATGTCTCAGGTGTTCTAAGTTGGGTGTGTGGACTGTCATATAAATGTCCATACGTAACAGTTTTTCCCA